TTCTCATCATAATTATTTTAAGTAGCATTTTTGTTACGTGGCTCATGAGGCTTATGGTACGATGAGTTTCACATTCATTTGCATCAGGTTTCTTTGGTAAAGCTATGAAGATAGATTTTGACAAGTCTGATGGAATATGTACACTGTCATACATGTTGTTGTGAAGTTTGTCAGTGTGCTCATTCCAAAGTCCTCAAAAGCTTAAATCATCCCTGTGGTAATGTCAGGTCCTGCAGCTTTCTCATTCTTCATCTTCATTAGTGCTTTGATAACTTCTTCCTTAATGATTGGTGGGCCATCGTTGTCATTTTCCACTCTTCTTTGTTCATCTCTATTGTCACTGTACAGGTCACCGATTATTCTGTCCAACGTTCCAGTATCTTATCTTTATCCATGATGATATTTCGATCCTGTTGATCCAAGTGTTCTTGTATAGCAGACCTCTTTAATTTAAAAAAAAAATAAAAATTTGTGCAGATCTTTTGAGTTCGCACTGGGTCTCTTTTGCTAGATTACATTTGTGTCAGATTTCTTTGTGAAGACTCACATATTCTTCCTGATTGTTTGTCCTTCGTTCTTCCTTAAGATGAAAAATTTCTTCAGTCATTCATTTCTTTTTCTGTGCTTTTGTTGTCTTTTCTGGTATGAAGTCTTTTTCAGCCTCAATTATAGACCTTTTAAGCTATGTCTTGTATTTCTTCTAACGGGCCGAATTTGTTCTTAACATTATTCTGAATTTTTCTTTCATTTCTTTGTTTGACTGGCGTAGTGCCATGTTAAGTTTCATATTCTTGTTCTTGTTCATGTGTGTTGTTTTCAATCTCATTCTAAATTTTCCCACCACTGGTACATGGTCACTGAAACTTCTTATCCTCTTTCATTTCTGGTTCCCAGTCTATATGGGCCCACTATGTCTTCATGTCTAGTTATTCCTATTTTTGTTTTAAAATCTCCCATTACTATGACAATATCCTGTGATTTACAATGTGTCTTTGCTTGGTTTAGTTCGTCATAAAACTTCTGTATTTCTTCTTCTGTGCTTTCTGAGGTTGCCGCATACGCTTCGATGATGGTTGTATCGAATGGTTATCCTTTTAGTCTCGCGAGCATAACTCTCTCTTTTATTGTCAGGTACCCTTTGAGTGTCTTCGATGTTATTATGTTCAAGATAACCCCTACTCATCTTTCTTTTTTGTCGCCTCTGGGGCAAATGATTTTACAGCTGTCTGTCAATATACTGCCAGCTTATGTCCATCGTACTTCACATAAACCCATGATGTTAACATTCATTCTCTTCATTTCTCTCATGATGTTGTCCAGTTTTCCTTTCTGTAGCAATGTTCTCACATTCCAGGTTGCTATGCTTTTCGGTAGAGTTTTCCTTTTGTGGGCAATATCTAGATGACGGTCTTGTGTCACCTGCTGTGCATGACTGGCCCTACCGGACTAAGCAGCTCTTACAGAGCACCCCTTTTCGTCGTTATATTCATTCATTGTGTGTTGATCGATGACGTTTTGGGAAAAATACAGCAGTGGTTTCCCCTTGTATTCTGCTGGATTTGTACGGTTTACTCCGCTAGCCTTTGGGCAAAAAGGACTAACCCACAAGGGCTTTGATATTAATATTATGGTGAAACGCATCGGGGATGAATTCTCTGATCGCATTAATGTTGCCCAGGCTGTTTCTGGTGGCCACATTGAAACCTTGTAACACGAGTAATACAGTTTGATTGTGGGTGCGATACTTGTGACCAAAGAAGCTATAAAAAGAACTATTATAACCTCATTGGTCGTGACTTAGTTTGAGTTTTCCATTGCTTTTCCTTATTGAAATATTTCGTAATAAAATCAGTTCATCCTTAATAATACTAATAGAAATACTACTACTACTACTACTAGTACGACTACTACTACTACAAATAATAATACTACTAATCATCATCATCATCATCATCATCAATATCATCATCGTCATCAACAGCAGCATCAGCAGCAGCAGCAGCAGCAGCAGCAGCAACAGCATCATCATTATCATCACCACCACCATCATCATCATCATCATCATCATCATCATCATCATCATCATCCTCATTATGACGTTCGCCATAATTTGGTCCAAAAGAGCCGCACCTTTTTGGGAAGCCGTGTGTCACGCAGTGCGTGGATGTAGCTGGAGCCTTGACTCCACTGAGAACCGTCAGGTTGTTGGCCTCAGCCTTGGCTTTTGCAAGATCAGCACTAGTCACAATTGTTCTGTGGGAACTATGTGTCTGGACTTCAGGATATACTAATGAGATTCCATTCTCCCATAATCGTAGTAAATAGTAGTTTTCACCCGGAACAATCACCAGATCGCTTTTTTGAGTTACGCTTAGGTTTGTTTGGGTCTTCGTGGTGTGACACCTTTTGTTCCAGAATTTTATGATTATTGTTTAATTAATTTTGCTATTTTTTGTTTTGTTTTGTTTCGTTTCGATATGAGTCAGGAGTGGTAAATTTTTGTGAAGAAGTTCACGCGGGGCTTAGGCTAAAAAAAACCTCCGGTGACCAGAGGCCTCTGTGATAAGACACTTGACCTACGTGGAATGTGTTCTTAAGAATGTCAAGGGATGTCAGAATGTACCTCATTTAAAGTGTTGTCCAGGTGTACGATAATGTCTTATCTGGGATAAAGATCCAGCAGAAAACCTCAATTTCCTTAATAGAAGCAGCTCAAGTCAAAGATAACTTCTGCTCAAAAAAGATTTTAACTCTTTAACTCAGACACAGCAGTAGCCCTTTTCTCCCAGACACATACAGTTTTACCAGGAACACAACGCAATATTTAAAATCTTCTACACATTTAAGGCATTTACAAATGTATAACATGGGTATATCTATATGATTTTCTTAACTTAATCACATCAATTGATAAATATCCACCAAATGAAAAATATTTATATACAAGAACATCAGACATTCCTGTAGAATACATAAATCGAGCATATTACTGTAAAAATGACTGTACCAATACTCCAAACGGTATTCGATAATTGGCGTCATTTACCTCCAATAGGCTGAAGTATTAATATTATGGATGGGTGTTGGCAAAATTTATCTAATTTGACTTTATTAAATCAACGAGGTATACTAATGTTACTTTAAATTCAGTCTTCTACAAACAGCTATTTTTGTAATAATGGAGAAAAGAGGAGTATTTTCGTCTCTCTGCTGGGACGTTTTAGTCCTCAAGGCCTCGCTTGGCCCAAACAGGCATGGCCGAAACAGCCCACTTACTAAATGATCTCAATTGTGTCAATCAGGGTTTAAACACGATCGAACAGTTATGCTACAAGACGATTTGGGTTTGCACAATTTCAACACTCAGTATTACACACGGATTAAGCTCACCTTAGCTGTGATTTTTGTCTTTCATTGTGACAACGTATCTTTTTTTTGTGGAAAGGCTGTTAAACACTTGCTATGTTGTATACGTGCAACTTCTCCTTTCACAAAATGACAGTACTTCGAGGGTTAATCAACAAACATCTTTAAAAATTAAAGAGCGAAACTGGGACACGTCATACCATTTTCACACCCCACATTTTTATCACCGTTTTCAAAGCGTGCTATCAATTTAGAGTTCATTCACGAACAAATTTTGGCAACAACAAAGTTCCTGGATACTTCTAATCTATAAATGTAGCGTGTACACGAAGCTACCATAACTAGGGTTTAACTCTGGTCAAGGACACATTTGACATTTGACTGCTCTGCCTATGACATCTTAGAACATAGACTTACGGGGGAAAAACTACATACGAGTGTCTGTATACGAATGTTTTGATTGTTATGGTGACAAAACAAACGACAGTCATAGGACTGAAGACTGAAGACAGGCTTAAAACTACTAAAAGCCTATAAAGTGTATCGTATATGAGCAATTTTTACCGATTTGGTTTCACATGCAATTTGTAGACCAGTGGTCCGCACACGAAAGACTATCTACAGCTTTAGAGCTCATGTTGGTGTGACTTATGACCATACATAGACTTTTTCTATATTATCCTAGACAGTGAACTCTGACGTATTTCCGGTTTACCATGGACCAGACTATTTGTCTGATTTGAGCAAATGAGGAGAAAAGGGCACGCACCCGGGAAAGAGGGGGGGGGGGAGCTTTCGCACTCAGCTATACCAGTATAAACAGTTTGAACGAAAATGACCAGTCTAAAGCAATTTAACAGAAGCATTATCAACACGTATTTCAGAAAGAACTTACAACCACGCCATAAACAACAATAACAATAGCAACAACAGTAACAACATCAGCAGCAGCGGTAACATTAGCAGCAGCAACAACAACAATAACAACAGCAAAAATAACAAAAACAACAAGAAATAACAACTACAATAACAACAACAACAAAAACAACAACACCTACTACTACTATTACTACAACAACAACAACAACAACAACAACAACAACAACAACAACATCAATATCAATGACAATTACAACAACAACAACGGTAGCAACTACGACAACAGCACTAACAACGACTACAAACAACTACTACAACAATGGCTGCAAAGATAATGGCGACAACAACAATAACAGCAACAACAGAAAAGAAAGTACAGTGGCAGCAATACTGACACAACTAAACTTGTTTAGCATACTCTGTCGCATTATGCTGTTTTATTTTTTTTTCTTAATGTGGGTGTTTTATACCTACATCGACACAATTCAGACAATTTTGGAAAGACGCTTCGACCCTGCCTATCAGGGACTACCTGGGCTGAGAAGGACGCAACCTCCCAGCTAAAGGTATCGAGTTACTCGATGAAAAAGTCTCCCCACTCGGGAATCGGACTCCGGGTCTCCTGAATGCCAAGGCAAAGCGCCTAACCTCAACACTACACGCACCAGTTGGCATTATCTAGTGTGGAAAATTGTTACAAACGAATGGAAATATACTCAGCTTGCACTTCTTTCTCTGTTTTTATTCCCACACAGAAACGCTTGGAGCAAGCAGAAGAGTCTCCTCGAAAGGATGTTAGGACACGCAAAATGGTTGTACATCAAATTCAAACGTAATGTGAGGCATCGCGGTGAAATCAGTCGCTCGTCAAATTTGTCCATCCGTTGAACAATTTTTATCAATTTTTTTTATTTTGGCACAACACCTTTTATGCTCATATAAACACATATTTCAGTGTGGATTTTATCGAATTACGTCGTTCAACGGCACCAAAAAAAAGGAAATTTCCAGTTTCAAGGTTAAGAGGTCAACAAACCTTTGCGGCCACTAAAGCGCCAATTTTATCGACGACAATAAGCGACCTTCACCTTCTTCAATCGTAAATACTTCGAAATCTCCCCAAAAAAAAAGGGGGGGGGGGGGGGGGGCGCTCCCCCAAACGTAAATAAAAGAAAAAGCTTTAATAACTATATGCCCAACAATTGACGAGCATCTGATTTCATCGTGTTGTGGCACAAATGATTATGTTTGTTACCCTCCCCCCCCCCTCTCTCTCTCTCTCTCTCTCTCTCTCTCTCTCTCTCTCTCTCCTCTCTCTCTTTATCTCTCTCTCGCACACACACACACACACGCACACACGCGCACACACACACACACACACACACACACACACACACACACACACACACACACTCACGCTCTCTCTCTCCCTCCCTTCCCCCCTCTTTCTCTCTCTCTCTCTCTCTCTCTCTCTCTCTCTCTCTCTCTCTCTCTCTCTATCTATCTATCTATCTATCTATCTATCTATCTATCTATCTATCTATCTATCTATCTCTCGTTTTATTTATTTCAATGTTTTGATGTTGAGAGCTTTCCTGTGTTTGTTTATGTGTGCGTGTATATCTGTGTCCGCGTGCTCGCACGTGTGTGAGTGTGTGTATTTGTATGTTTATGTGTGTATGTGTGTGTATGTGTGTGTATGTGTGTGCGTGTGTATGTTTGCGTTGTGTGTATGCTTGTGTGTTCGTGTGTGTATAGCATTCTCATGTTGTAACTGTCGGAAAACATGGTTCAGTCACAAGTGAAGTAAACGATGTCACGGTTATATGATAATAAATCAAAAGTGCATTAAAATAGGTCGAGATGTCAGACGACAAAGTTCAATCACAAGTGAAAGAAAAGACGTAGCTAAAAGCGCATTATTCGGTGGGTTTTTTTTATCTCTGTGGTAAGAAGTTTAGTTTTGTGGCATCGTGGTGAAGCCAGTCGGTCGTCAAAATAATGAAATTGAAGAAACCAATATTTTCCTGACCATTGAAAAAGTTCTATCGAATTTGATTTTGAATTTTTATTTTTTTCTTTCTTTCTTTATTTTTTCTATCATTTATTTATCTAATAAATTTTCTTCATTCCTTTCTCTTTAAAAAAAAATTTGTTTGTGCTTTTTTATGTATTAGCACCCTTTATAATAATTGTTTTCCCTTTTTAAAATGCATTTGCTGCATCATGTTGATCAAAGGTACAAAAATGGGAAGTTGCATACAGTTTCCAATGTCAATTCACCTCTGTAAGTCACCAAACTTTGGCTTCCACTTTTTAACAAATTTCATCAATGAAACCCGGAGACTCTCTCCTTCAATCGCAAATACCTCGACTTCTCTTCCAGATAGATGGATATTTCTTTCATCAAAAGCAAGGCAATTAATGAACTTGAGCCGTAAGATTATATCAATAACTATATCGCTACCCTAGAATAACAATGTTCTACCAGCCCGGTATCTAGTTTGGGGCAATTTGAGTTTCAAAACAAGTTTTATCAAATGCATTTTTATGAATATCTTGATAACGACTCCGTTTAATCTTACGGATTCGATAGAATAGACAGAAAATTTCGTTTCATGATCTTATAGTAACTCAAAATATTACCAGGGCGAACATTTTTTATGTTTCTTGGACTTCACAAAATTTTGCCAAGGGTGATTTTCTCAGATTAATTTTGATTGACCGTTATCTTAGGCGACCCCTGCCGCAGATGAAAAATTTGATGTGTCAGATAATGCAGCATGTTTTTATCTTTAAATTTGTATACTGTATGAGTGGGTGGTGCAAGGCTTAACACGATGATTGGGTGAATACATTTTCAAGTATCTATTGGATGCCACTCTATACACATAATATACTATTCTGTTGATTTATTTGCTCCCATAGTTATTCATTTCTTACAGTGTCAGCCCATTTTTTTTTCATTTATCTTAAGCAGCTTTTGATGAATTTGCTACCTCAGAATTATGAAGTTCTATCTGTTCAATACCTAGTTGTGAGAAATTTGGACAGAAGCGTCGGCCTAGAAAAGCGATCGACGAAATAAAGAAATTTAGCTTTTTGCAGCAAAACTGTCTCAAAACTGAAAAAACCAAGGGCAACATGATCTGGAGAATATTTTAAAGAATTTTTTGGCGAAAACCGCATGTCGATCGATGCAGCCACTAAAAAGCCTTTTGAATAGCAAAATTCGGCCACCACAAATAGATAATAGATTTTATGTGTGTGAACGCATCGCTTGCCTTGCTTGTCCTTGTCGCTTCGTCCGCTTGCGTTCCCCAATATTGTGTATAATGCTGGCTAAGTTCGTAAAAAGAAACCCAACTTTCTCTGGCGCTTTTTTGAAGATGGTAATGTGATCGATGATGACGGTGTTGATCCTTAGTATCTTGGTCTTGTAAGGATGTACTGTAAGGCTTGGCCTCCGGGAGATTTTTTACAAGAACTCGTTTTCTGCGCCATCTGTCGATGGCTATGTGAAAGTAATGCTAAATCTTATTGATTACTCAAAGTATCCCTTGCATTTACAGTACAATGCCTTCCTGTTTTTTCTGCATGTGTAAAAATATGTTGTATATATGTATATATAATAGGAGTGTGTGCATACACATTATATAT